ACAGGGGATATTTTTCGTCTTGCCCTCGCTCACTACTAGACTCATACACTTCGCTTCTCTATCGAGACTGGAGAAAGCAGAACTCACAACGCGGTTATTGAGGACAATAATGCCAACATCATCGGCATACACCAAAGAAAAATCGCATGATAAGGGATCAGCTTTTCTGAAACCTCGTCAATTATCGAACACCTTCTCTCCGATCCTGACGGAGTTTTTCGGTGTTGTTTTACCTCAGTTTATGGAGTCGTATAAGTTTGGCGGGAATACCGAATTCAGTTTATATATATTCGAAGATTGCTTTAAAATCGACGAAAAGGTGGTGGGTGTCGATCCTCTTTTCATGTGCCTTTTCCAAGATTTGGCACATTTTGAATATCTGGTCAATGGTTGATTTACCAAGTCTAAAGATCACTGATAAGGTCCAATGAGATTGCAAACGGTGGGCTTTAGTTTTTCACACAAAAAGGAAAGGACCTTTATGCGATATTAAGAAGGCTAATCCCACGATAATTAGCGCCGACTGTGGGTTCGTTCTTATTGTGGATTTAGCAGAGCAGACTTAGGTGCCGATTGTAGGGCATGTTTTCATCCGATCATATTTTGCAAAGAAACTGATGTGGGCACTTTGCGCTGATGTCAAGGTTGCAAGGTAGGTAGCCGGGGGTTTCTCCACTGTGACATTGCAATCCTCATCGTACCAGCTATTTTTGCGACGCTTCCGAAAACCAATAATTTCGTTTGCAGCTGTACCTAGGGACTTTGAAATTCCGTTCCACAGTCCCTTCTACCGAGTTGCTAATCAGTTTTCAGAGAGCAGCAGTGCAAGTTTGGTAGAAAACCGTTCGGCTGTCTGTTGTGATTGAAGCTTTTCGACGTTGAACCTTCCTTGTATTCGCTAACGGGCGTGCTTTGCTGCACAGAGGTGGTGATACGCTCAAGATTGTGGTCTGACCTATTGGGATATCCGTCTTAGTTTTCCTTACACTCATATTATTAATTTCCAAAGCTGTTCTTTAGCAAATGTGTGCCAAAATTTGTGGAAATTGTTTTACAGTAGACATGGGATTCATTAAATCTCACCTACTTTATGTAGGACAAGTTTTGCTGAGAGAAACAGTGAAAACTCGGCCGTGGACAATCCTTTCCCTCTGTTATTTTGAATCTGCACATTTCTTTTGCAACCAAATGTAGGTTAACTTTGTTGGCGGCTTAATTTGGCATGTCGGAAGAGTTCACACAAAAACACCGTGGGAGAAATTAAATATGAGCATACATACATACATATACCAAACACATCGAGAGCGAGCTGGTGAAGGAGTCTAAGTAAGTAAAGAATTGTGACATTAAATTGGCTCATTGCACTCATTGGCACCTGCTTTCGTACGGCTAAGTATAGTTGGCAGGCAAATAAGTCTGTTGTGAAAGAGTGGCTTCAAACGAATTTGCTGTTTTTGTTTTTGTTGTTGTTATTTTTGGCAAAATTAAATATAAATTGCTTGAGGTCGTCTAAAATATACAATTTTAGCTTTGTGTGCTTTTTTTTTGTTTTGCAAGAGAAGAACGAAAATTAATTGGGAAATTCAAAGCTTTTCGTCGCTGAATTTAAAACCACAATAATTGTGGTTGAATTTCAGGTTTTTTCATGAGTGTAGGGAGCACAAGGAATTCTCATTTCAACCTATCAAGGCACAATAAATCACTGTTTAATGGGTCTTCTCGGGAACGCATTGACTTACAACTCTAATGATTTTCATTGCAGTTGAAAGGCAGCAAAAGACGAAAGGCCCGTTGAACACTACCTCTGACATTGTTCAGTCTAAAAAACTAGGAAACACAAGTTTTTCGGAATATACTTTTTTGATTGTCTCGCTAAGCTATACCCGTATAAAATTGGCGCTTTATAACCGCTGATACAATTTTCGTCCGAACGGCTAATGGTTGTTTTGTGAGAAGTCTTTATTCCAAGTCAGAAAAACACATTTTATTTTGCCCAAAAGCAAGAGCTTGACTTGCATGACATGTGGTTTCAACAAGACGGTGCCACATGCCACGCAGCACGTGTAACAATGGACTTATTGAGAGGCGAAAATTCGGTGAATATTTTATCTCACGTTCGGGATCGGTCAATTGGCCGCCTAGATCGTGCGGTTTAACGCCTTCAGGCTATTTTTTGTGGGGCTTTGTTAAGTCTAGTGTTTATACAGACAAGTACGATTCAAGTGACGCATTGGAGGACAACATTGAAGCATTTCTTCGTGAGATACCGGCCGAAATGTTGGAAAGAGTAAGTCAAAATTGGATTGAGCGGTTGGACCATTTTAGGCGCAGTCACGGTCAACATTTGCATGAAATAACCTTTAATTTTTATATGAACCGTACTATCGATTCGAATAAAGATTACATGCATTTTTCTGAATTTTATGTGTTTTTTTGAAAAAATTTCCTATAGCTCTTAAAAAATCACCTTTTATATATTATAGAAGTAAAGCACATATGTATAAGAAAAAGTAAAAAGCATGAAATTGAAATAAATAATTACAATAAAAACATCAAATGGTTTGAAAAAGAGAAAGAAAAAGTGTAACATGGCACTAAAGCATCACGTACGAGCACATGGACGCGTTGCGATAAAGCGTTGAGAGAAAAAGTAGATGACAGATAAAGTGAATTAATGGTACAGCCTACATATATATATCAGCGGCCGATTGACCGACTGACTTGCTGACTGATGGCACACTATTAGCTGTTCGAAAATGTTTAAATGTCGATATTTATAAGCAGCTTATGATATGTATACACTCGCATGAGTATATTAGTTTTCGAAGCGTGTGTGGCGCACATGACAGAAAGTGATTTTTTATTGGACAGGAAGAGAAATATTTTTAGTGGATGTATGACGCATAAAAATAACTACTTGATAACAGATAAGAGTGAAATTTAGAAAAGGCTAATTTTAGGCTTTGCATAATTTAATAATTTCGGCCAAAAATCGCTTTAGCAGTTATAAAGTGCCAATTATATTTTCGATATAATTTAACTTTCTTTGAAAAGTAATTTAGTAAATTCTTTAGTACGGTCGTGTTCGAAGATAAGTAAGACTGCGCTAATGATTCCTAAGCCAGTATTGACGGCCAGGTAGGAATTATTCACTATGAACTGCTCCTTTACGTCCACACATCCGCATTATTGTGTGAATTCTGCACCAAGTAGTTACCATCTAGTCTATAGCGAATGATTGTTTTTTTATTTCGCTTTTATTTATTTTATTGTGTTTAATTTTGTTTTATTTTATTTCATTTTAATTTATTTTATTTTGTTTAATTTTGTTTTATTTTATTTTATTTTATATTATTTTATTTTATTTTATTTTATTTTATTTAAATTATTTTATAATAATTTCTTTTATTTAATTTTTATATTTTATTTTATTCTGTTTAATTTTGTTTTATTTGATTTTTTTTTACTATTTTTTTTTAATTAAATTACATTCATTTTATTTTCATATATTTTATTTTATTGCATTTTTCATTCCTTTTTTAATATTTTGCTTAATTTATTTAATATTGTTTTATTTTTAATATTACATTATTTTATTTTATATTATTTTGTTTTATTTATTTTTTTCTCGTTTTGTTGTATTTTATTTCTCATATCATTTTAACCTTTTTTTAATTTAGTTTATTTTTGTTGATTTTATTTTATGTTGTTATATTTTATGTTATTTAATTTTTTATTTCATTTTATAATATTTTGTTTTATTTTTTTCCTTTTATTGTACTGTGTTTTATTTTGTTCTGTTGTGTTCTTTTTTATTTTATTTCATTTTTTATTGTTTCTATTTGGCGGCCGCGGTAGCCGAGTGGCTAGCATTGCGTATTACCGTTCGGAAGGCCAGCGTTAAAATGCTGGTATGACCAATATCCAAAAGTTATAGAAAATTAATTCTAATAAGAAATAAAGGCTCCACATTAAAAACCATCAGACGTTCGGACGCAAAGCCACAAATATTATTTTTTTGTTTTATTTTATTTAATTTAATTTAATTTAGTTTTAATTACAATAATTTAGTTTAATTTAATTTTATTTTATTTTGTTTCATTTTATTTTATTTTATTTTATTTTATTTTATTTTATTTTATTTTATTTTATTTTATTTTATTTTATTTTATTTTATCTCGTTTTATTAATTTTTTTTTCTTCCAAACTTGTCTTTGCTTACACATACATATGCACATATGTTTGTGGGTATTCAAAATAATAATCACTGGATAGACATAAGAGCGGATAGAATGCCTAGAAAAGAACACTTAACACTCAGCATTTTAATTAAGATAAGTGCAAGAATGACGTTGGACAAGAGTTGTGGCGGCTGCGAACGCCTCTTAATGTTTTATTTTATTTCATCAAGCCGCCTTTAATATGTAGACATGTAAAGAATATAATGGAAATTAATATAATGGAGAAAATTATGCACCGAGTTTGTTTCAAAGTAATAAATTAATTTAATTAGCCGCAGTAAACGTAATGGAGGGGTGAGGTTTTGAGTTTCGCGCTTAAGTCTTTTGATTTCTGTGCAAATTTGTGTGCAAAGAGCACTTAATGAAGGCATTTCAGCGATGACCAGATGGGAAGACAGGAAGACAGTTGTGGTGCATTAATTTTATGCGCAATCATGCAGACTGATATATACTATGAATATATATAATAAATTGTGGTCAGAAGCTGTTGTTGGCAGGGAATTCTAAGAAATATTTTTTTAACGGGTTTAAAAAAATGTTAAAAAAAACTACTGAAAGGTTCTACAGTTTTAAAACTGACCAAAAAACAAGTGGAACAAATTGCTTTATTTCTTCGCAAGTATGTATATATATATATGTACGTATGTATATAAAAATATGTCGTAATCCGCCATGGGAGTGGCGCTGAAAACACATAGTGAACACGTGCAACTCTGTACACCGTTAATTCGTAGGTGTGAAGCAAACCACAAAACTTACCTGTTTCAATTGCCATTGCAATGTGTCCACTTGATTTTGCAGCAAAACCACTTGAACATTGGCGGCACTATCGCTGGACGCCTTCAAGGCAGGCAAACGATGCACCAAACGTGAGGGTGCGGTGCGAGAGAGCATAGAAGTGGGTTTTGTTGCAACATAATGCGATTTTAGTGTAGAGCGTGCAGCAGCCACAGGTGGCGGCGGTGCTGCTATTGTAACATTGCCATCATTATCCTCACTATCATTATCATCATCATCGTCACCGTTATCATTAGTATAAGCTTCTACGCCATTGCCGTTTACGTCATGCTGCTCATCGTACAAGAGATTAACATCCTGCAAAGAAACACAGAGAGAGAGAGGGAGAGAAAATATGAGTAAATAAAAATTAATTTCAATGCTTTTTCAATTATAAAACTTTATGTATGCATGTCAAGTGGTGTGCATATGTAAGCAACAAGTTTTTGATTTTGGGCATTTCCGACACACTTCCTTTCCAGCCAAAAAATTGTTGCAGCATTAGAGTTGTGCCACTTGAATATAAAAACTCGTTTGTTGAAGTTTTGAAGTTTGTTAAAAAAAATAAAAAAAATATGTATAAGAATACATGCACACTCACACATGTATGTAATATAAAAGTGGTTTAATTTTCTAACCAAAAAAAAATTATTTTTCTCTTCAAATATTTTTCTTTTTCTGCCATCCAGCATTAATTGTGTTTTGTATTACAAATGGTATGTTTAATTAAAATTATTGTACAAGTAATGCCGGTTTTGAGTGCACACACACATATATATATTTATGCAAATAAATGTAAGCGGACACACATACCTGAGCAAGTAATAATAATGGTGATAATATATATATATATATATATATATATAAATATATATAGAAATATATAGTGTGAAAATGTACTTTTATCAATGGTCTCTAAATTTAAGTGCCCACAATCGCACACACACACACACACACACGTGTACACTGTTGCATATAATCATATTCATAAAGTACGAATACCAAAAAAAGAGAGAGAAAAAAATATGTGAATTTCCGCTTATGCATAATAGTTAAACAATAAGCGTTTTTTGATAGTTTTTGAAAGTTGATTATTGTCAGATAAAGCATTAACTGACTTAATAAATAAAATTAAAATGACAGTAATCAAAGAAACATGCAATTGTTGCTGTAGAAATGCAAGAAGATAATTTGTATATGAAATGTTTGAAGTTTTTAATTTAAGGGGCACACCTAGCGTAATGGCATAAAAAAAATTTTTATTAAAAAAAAATACTTTATCAATTTTTTCAAAATTTTAAGAATTTATTTATACATGCTTCAAGAATATACAGTGAAATTTTTGAAGGAAAAAAGTAAATATTTTTTAAGTTAAAGTAGATCTCCAACGGCGCGAAAAAAGGTCCTTCATCGCTGCAGTGATTCCGGCCTTCTCCGTGGATGAAATCTAAAAAAAAAAACAAATCTAAAAAAAATTCTCGTTAAACTAGATTATAGGATGAAAAAAAATTTACATAATGGCGGCGTTTTAAAAAAAAGTAGTGGAATTTTACCCAAAAGTTTGGTCATTTTTGGCCTGTCGAAATTCGATTTTTTGATCAGATCAAAATCGATAGAACATTGTACGGAGAACTATATATAAAACATGTAAAAAAATTCGATACTGATCGGATCAATTACTTCCAGTCTGCTTTGGAGATTTAAAATTATGAAAATAAAGTCTGTTAGTTCTCAATGAGACAATACTTTTTTGGCAATTGACCTTTTTGACAACTTCTACTTTACTTATAATCAATTTTCCATTTGCCATTTTATGAGAAAAAGACTCACTTGGGAACAGCGTTTGCAAAACGGGTCGACATAATCACTCACCGGAGTTGATAGTTCGAGCAACCATGAATCAGTTTCCCCACCACGCAGCGAAGATGCTACTGCTGCTGTGGCGCTGAGCGTCGAAGAAGGCACGTATAAGTTTAGCCGATAACACGTGCAACAATTGGTGCTGGGCTCATTGACTATATGGAAGATTTTGCGAAAATAACTTGTTTTGAGGGCTTGCAAAATTCACCTCTGCTGTAGTTGAAGCTGAACGATAAGGATGACCTTCCAACAAGACGCCACTACATGCTCTGTGGCCAACGAAACCATCAATTTATTGAAGAAAACTTCTGGTTAATCGACTAGTGATCAGATATTCATCATGCATCAAATATTGGAGAAGCCTCGTGAAAAAATAGTTGATACATTTCACCTTTTCATCGACTTTAAAGCTGCCTTCCGCAGCACAGTAATGAGTTGCCTCTACGGCATTATGACTGGACTTACGGCAGTGTAAATTGTTACTGGATAAAGCCATAGGCGCAGTCAGAATGTGGCACGACCTCTCCAAGTCGTTTGGTATCAAAGAAGGTTTCAGACAGGGTGACTCTTTACCTTTACTTCTTTTAATACTGCTTTCTCCAGACTTGATAAAGAATCGAAGCGAATGAGTCTGGTAGTGAATGAGGACAAGGTTCTGTTATAAAACAAACAGTCATCGCATTCCAGACTCGTCTCCCACGTCACTGCTGATAGTCACAACTTCAAAACCATAGATAATTTCGTCTATTAAGGGGCCAACATCAGCTGAGTAGGCAATTGAGAAGTAAAAGTCCTCTCTGAACGAAAAAAAACCAAACTTTACAAGTCCCTCATCATCCTCGTCCTACTATATATTGCAGAAGTGTGGACGATGTCAACAAGCGATGAGTCGGACCCAAGTTTTGCAAACGATTTATGGTCATTTGTACATTGGCAGCGCCGAATATCGGCGACGATATAACAATGGGCTGTACGAGATAATGGCGACATTGACATAGTTCAATGAACAACAAGACGATGACACAGTACCTGCTAGTGGAAGCAGAGGAAAAGGAAAACCTGCACTCCGTTGGAAGTATCCGGTGGACAGCGATCTCGTTTCTGACCGGCACCAAACAGCGAAAGGAAGGGATGAGAGGAGCGATATTCGAGCGAAGTAGAAGAAGAAAAATAAGTAGAAGAAGAGAAAAAGATGAAGAGGAATGAAGAAGAAGAAGAAGAAGAAAAAGAAGAATAAGAAGCAAAAGAAGAAGGAGAAGAAAAAGGAGAAGGAGAAGCAAGGAAGAAGAAGAAGCAGAAGAAGGCGAAGAAGAATGGGCATGGGCCTGCACGTGGCCTTCAATTCCGTACGATTTACCGTTGGACTATTTTTTATGGGATTATATAAAGTCGAATGGCGCAGTGTTGTTAAATCGGCTAAAATCGCGTAAGCGAACTCTAAGTCAGTAGCGTAAGTAAGTAAGTATATAAAGTCGCTCGTCTATGCAGATAATACCGAGACGATTAACGCCTTAAAAGAGAATACTCGGCGCGTTGTTGATGTTATACGTCATTGATTGCTACAAAGAATGGCCGAAAATTGGGCCTCTCGGAATTTATTTGAGCCAGGCGCGGTGGCCACTCGTCCGAAATCAGTTTTAATGACAAATCCTTACTTTTATAATAAAGGTAAATTCTTGGCCTTAACACTGAGTTATATGCGTTTTAGTTTTTCGTGAAAACCACAGATCTAAAAAAAAACAACCTTTGCAACTTCGTTCTCAATTGTTAAAGCAGTTGAGGTTTCACTGTTCTTCCAACTCAATCTTCCTGCGATATTTTAAAATTTTCGACTCAGATATCAAACCGAGGTCTTGTTCACTTCAACTAAGCAGCTTCGGAAAAGAAATATGAGTTATCCAGTTTTTAAGAAATCATTAAAAATCGATGTGAAATTCCATTAAGGCCTAAATTGTGCACATACACGAACCAGGAAGTAAATCCAACAGCAAACTTGTAAGCCCTTAGTAATTTAACCCATTCAGCGTGCTATATAAAAATTAGACCATCCTACATGTGGTAGTATTTCTTGCATTTACTTTGCACTTCAGCACCTCAGCGCATATCACTAAAAAGCAAGCTCGATTTATTTTTGTATTTTTTATTTTTTACTCTTGATCCTCTTTAAAAGCCATTATGTAAACCACTTAAACTTAATATGATTGCCAATTTGATTTGCACGCACTGTTTACTCATCACACTGCCACTCTGCCTCTCTCTCTCTCTCTCTTCCCCCTTCCCATCTTCCACTTCTTCTTGTTCCGCAACCCGTTGAGTGATGAATGGTCGGGATGTGTCATCAATTGCCATTGTTCAACGTTTATTTGTTGCATTTATGTATTTGGTAAACCAGCAAAGTAAACCAACAGCTACAATAACAACAAAAAAAAGCTAAAAAAAAATTCCTCCACAATAGTGAAATAAAAATTTTCTTTCGCTTATGAAAAAAAAGAGTATAAAAATCTGTTTTTCATTGTTAACAATTTAAAATGGTTATGTGGCTGAAATAAAAATTTATTGTGGCACAAATTGTGGCCATCATTGCTATTGTTGTTGCCAATATTGCTGCTGCAGACTATTTACTGCCACAATTGTCAGTTGCTGGTAACAACTACCCGGTAGCAAGTGATCCAATTGCTTTCGCATCATCAACAGAAAATTCATTCCGAACGCAATTCGCAAAAAAAAAAGAAAAAGGAAAAAAATCACAAATGAAACGGATATATTCGCATATACATATATGTAAGAGGGGCAGCTGATAAGTTCGCGGCCTAAAGTACTTTATAAACCAAATTTATGTGGTTTTTATTTCAATATAGGTCCCCGCAAGTGAAAAACACTTTTCACTTTTTATGCCACTAAAAAAATAATCTTTAGATTTCTCTTCAAAATGATTTTCTTCGGCCGCTTTCATTTCAGTGTCGTCTGAAAATCTTAAACCCCGTAATTCCTCTTTTAAATTTGAAAAAAAAGGCAAAAGTCACTTGGAGCCAGGCCCGCAGAAAGCCAGTTGTTTTTAAGGCATTCCTCAGAATTGGAGCGTTGTGAACGTGTGCGTTATTTCGAAGAAACAGCCCTCCGCGCGCCAACTTGCCACGTCTTTTATGTACGACTGCCTTACGCGCCTGGCTCAACAAATTAGCGGGCCGTTCATTGTAGTTCCTGTGGCAAGTAATAAATTAATAATATTCCCTCGCTATTCCAGAGAATGGTAGTTATATTCTTCGTTAACCTTCAAAGCCGACTTTTCCATTTTGAATTTTTTTGGTGACCTCTCGCATTTTTTATCCACCACATGGGCTCCTGTTTGGACTCGGGCTCATACTGATGAATCCAAGTTTCAACAATTGCTACAATGCTTTTGTAAATTTAATTTAAATAATCTTGGCGCAACTCCAAAAAATCTTTACAACACTCCA